CAGGCTCCAAATTCATAGACGGCATCTGGTATGGTCCGAATGGTAATCCATGCTTACCTAAACATTTCTTCCCTCACTATGCGAAATTGACTCATGGGTTAGACCATGTGTCAAAAGGGGGAATGTTAAGTATCATTGATGCAACATGGTTCACAAAAGGGTTTGCAGCTTACGCACAAAGGTTCTGCCAAGCGTGCATAACATGTGCAACTCACAATGTAGGTCGTTCAGTACAGGTGTCACATCATGCAGCACATCCACCGCCTGCAAGACCGTTTGAACATGTAATGATGGATTTTGTGGAACTCTCCCCATCGGAAGGTGAGAAACACTGTCTTGTAATGGTAGACATGTGGTCCAAATGGGTTGAGGTGTTTCCCTCCAGTAAGCAGACAGCCTCCACAGTGGCTAAAGCCTTGATTTCAGAGATCATTCCCCGCTGGGGAATCCCAAGCAAAATTTCTAGCGACAATGGTTCACATTTTGTCAACCAAGCAATCACAGAATTAAGTGCATACCTGGGTATTGACTTAAAAACACACTGCGCATACCATCCAGCTAGTGGGGGAGCGGTAGAGAGAGAAAATGGAACATTGAAAACAAAACTGGCCAAATGTTGCACAGACACAGGTCTACCGTGGACAAAAGCACTGCCCTTGGTTCTGATGTACATGCGGATGAGGAAACGAACACGCAGCAACCTAAGCCCATTTGAAATCCTTTTCGCAGTTCCTCCCCATATAGGTGTGGAAGCTCCAGGAACACCACTCCCTTCCACCACAATGTGCGAGAATGACATGTTAACCTATTGCATTCGACTGTCTTCCACTTTGTCTGATGTAAGAAAACAGGTTGTAGCTGCACTTCCAAGAGAAGCAACGGGTCCACTACACCGACTGCAACCAGGTGACTTCGTGGTGGTGAAGGACTTCAGGAGGAAAAGTTGGAAAGCTAAACGGTGGCAGGGTCCATTCCAGATTCTCCTGGTCACCCAAACAGCGGTCAAGGTAGCTGAAAGAGCAACTTGGGTCCACGCATCCCATTGCAAGAAGGTTCCAGATCCAGTACCAGCAGTGGGCTCAGGCGACCCTACCTCCACAACAAGTGTCAATCCAATCCAACCGACACCACCGATCCAGTGACCACGGACGGGCAGTTGACCGACAGACACACAGTGCATTGTGATCTGTGTTGACTGTCTACAACGCGGATGCCTCACAAGAAAGAAGGTTGGCAGACTCCACATCCCAACGTGTACCTGCGGACCAACACAAGAAGAAGAACACGGCCAGGACCCCTCCACATAGACACAGTAGTCGTTTGTGCCACAACAGTTTTATTCATATTATTGCTTGCTTCAGTTTCATTATATCTCAGCATCTTTTTGTGATTCCGTAGTCAGCTATCTAAAGAGTGGGTCTCTCTTATCATGGAACGACAGCGTTCATGGAACCCCCTCAGACGACTGGGGGGGACTCGTGTAACCATGTGTTTATTTGCAGGTGTCACTTTATTTGTGTTGATTCCATATTTTGTCCTCCACCAGAAACATTTAGACGACTTACTTGACCGACGCAACAACTCAACACAAAAGAAAATGCTTCCGACTGTTACGTATGTTCTCCGCTACCCATCAGCACTAATCAACCACGGCTAGCCGTAGCCCCCCTGGGGAAGTCTGAAGGATGTTTCTGCGGGCTCTCGGTTAGTGGGTGGTATGTGCCCCCCATAGTCCTGTATATATCCAACGATAGCGACAAAGATTCTTTGTTTATTTATGAGTTATCCCCATGGGAAACAATAGATGATTTGGACTGTGCACAATCTCACGATATCAAACGATACACGGCTAGCCAAACGTCTACATTCGCACTCCAGGCTCAGGAAAGCCGAACACGGTTTCCTCTCTGCTATGCTCGTGATGGGACACATCCAGTGGGGAAAACAGACCCTGCAAGGTGTGACACGATCCTCATTGCAGGAAACCATGCGTTTAATGATTTAAATTGCAATAAAGACCATTTCCCAACTTTCCGAAACGACTGCGCCAAAAACCACAACAGGAGCTTTTGCCAAGCTAAGGGCACTGCAGAAAGGGCCGCAAAAGTGCCCATTCATCTCCAAAAATGGTCGTGTTCTGGCTGGACTTTCACTCCAGTAAATCCACGAGATTGCCCGCCCAATGTTAATTGTTCTGTTTTCCATTTCACTTTCCTCCCTGGGAAGAACGGTACTTATCCAGTGACCGAGGGATGGTGGCTGTGTGGCACCACCCTCCGCGTGTCTCTCCCCCCTCAGTGGAGCGGAATATGTACTCCTGTTCGCGTTACTGATCATACTTTTATTCTTACAGCTACAACAGGGACAAGCAAACGAACAAAACGAATGGCCGCATTGGACACTGGCCTTAACCCGGAAGTCAATTTTGCGCCACACGACTCAATCTGGGGCAGCGATGTGCCTGACGAGTTCAAACACGCCAGTACGTCAGTTAAAGTTTTGTGGGGACTGTTTCCATGGACAGGAGTGGGAAAAAACACGCTACGACTTGAAACCGTTGATTACCGTTTCAAAAGCTTTGTAAACATGACTCTAGCTGGCCTTAAGGGTATTCGCGAGGAAATGACCGCCATGCGTTTAATGATTATGCAGAACCGCATGGTACTAGACCAATTGACCGCTGCCCAAGGAGGTGTTTGTGCTATCGTAGGAGAATATTGCTGTACGTTTATCCCTGAGAATGACAAAGACGAAGGCATAATCCATCAGGCGATACAAAACATGACAAAACTTCAGGAATCTATGACAAGAGATAAATCTCCCTCCCCAGATTGGCTCACACGGGTGTGGTATTCATGGAAAGGAACACTAATACAAGCGGCTACTATCCTCTGTGTTCTCTTCGCATTCGTAATTTGCGGTATCCCATTGATCCGTCATACGATTGCCCAACTCCTGGCGAAACAAATGGCTATGTACAGCCTGGGGTCACCTGATGACTCACCACCAAACTTGTTCCCTAGACGCGACTCTGACAATAACCCCAACAGTGACTCGGACTCCCTTGACGAGCTGAACACTTACGACCTCGACACATACGCATAGTGACATAGTGACACACTGTCTGTGTGCATTCCTGGTGTTCTAAATGTTTTTGGTTTCACAGTAGCTTGCTAAAACAATGAGAGATAACATTCTCACAAAAACAGCTTTTCTAACGGGGTCAGATATAGGATATTGTGTGAAAGGGGATCAAGTTCTGGTATTGTGATTTAAACATGTTCTCATTCCTTTTTTATTTCAATACTGTACACATGACATCTGGGGTGTAACGCTCAAATCCTGTGAGAAGGTTTCCAGTCTTTATCTTCTCCTAACAGATTTCTTCCTATTTTCCCATTTCGGAGGTTTTTTTTAGGGAGTTTTTGTTCTGTGGCAGGAAAAGTTTTGTGAGCGATGTCCAGATGTTCATGTTTTGTGATATTTGATGTGGTAGATATCAGCTAGTGAATTTTTAGAGTAGTCAATCTAAATTGATTGCATAGTTTGTGATTATTATGTAATCAAAAGAGTGGAATGTAATGGGAAAATGATATGTGACCCTTTTAAATGCTTCATTTGTATAACCAGTTTATTAGTTGCAAGTGCTTAGATCACAAAGGCCCTGACATACGAACTGATGTCTCCCACTTGGATTAGATGTTTCCAGCGGCATAGCTGTAGAGACTGAACAAAGTGTTTGTTATGTCTATGACCACCTTTGTTTAAGCATGTTGGGAGAGCAAGGACACGGTCAAAGAACTGGTGTCTGGTTCACATGCGCAAGGTGTTCCCAGTACCCTGGCTGTAGAGACTCAACAAGATGGTTAACGGTTTCTGTTGACGCCACCGATATCTAAGTTTAGGTATAAGAACTGCCTCGAGGTGTTGGGAGGAAAAAAGGAGGTTCTTGACAGTCTACTGACCACGTAGCTGTTGTGACCCTTTTTCCCTTGCAAGGAAATAAACGGAGAAAAGACATACTTGACTCAGAGCCTTTGATTCTTACTTAACGATTGTCTGTGCAAAATCTTCCACCACAGATGCAAATACATACATTTTATTAACTGAAATTGAATTCACATTAACATTTTGAATTGTACATCAGATACTGCATTTAGTTTCCTCTGACCTGAGTTGTGTAAGAGTTTAGTCAACTCATTAAATTGTGTTTTTTATTAAAACACAATCTGCATCTGCAACTGTTTAACAGTTCAAACTGTCCCAAGATATGATGGATTCTGTTTATACATGTTGGTTCTTTTTTTTGAAGCTTTGTTTTTCTCAATAATAATGATAATTATGTTAAGTTGGCAAATCACACAAAGTTTAGAATCCAATTCAGTCCTCGTTGCTCATATGTAATATCTGATCACTGAGTAGCTTTTCTCTGAGCTCTTGTGTGGATTTAACTCTAGAAGCAATAACAGCAAGTCTGTATCTAAATAATTATTTAAACTAACATGATTTTGTAGCTTCTTACATAATACATAATTTGCTTGAAACCGAGCAGCTCCTGGAATGTTTTGGTGTATTTCAGCAGCTTAAGATGTACGGACAGGAATTGTGTTTAAAAATTAAAATTAAAATACCACTAAGGGAAACAACTTTTGTTTAAAGTTATCTTAAAATTACAAAACGATAGAATTCAAAAGTTCCACTAAAATGGATATTTATATTAAAGGTTTCCCGGTGCACCGTTTTTGATTTCCTGCATGAGCACATCTGGCCATTAACCGCTTCAGACCGAATCATTCACTGCAGAGGGCGCAAATATGTGTATGTATCACCATAGTAGGATTAATAATTAACATTTTTAATATGTGATTAGCTCCACGTTAGGACTTCCTCTGCCCTTGCCCCCCACGGCCCCCCCGCTGCTTCCGCCCACACACGCAGCCTTGAATTACTCCACCGGCAACTGTTGCATTCCCAAGTCCTCTGACGTCACGGGGAAGGAGGGCGGGCTCAGGCCAGAGGACGCTATAAAAAGTCCTCCGCTACCTTGGTCCATTCACAACCCCACTCTGGATTACCAAGCGGCTCCTCCTCTCGGACGACACAGCGGAGGAATTCACCCCAGGGGGTCCGCGAACCAGCCCGACGTGAAACAATGAAAATGTCAGCGGCGGAGATCAGCCAGGTGCTCAAGGAGGGAGAGCTGGAGAAAAGGAGCGACAACCTGCTCCAGTTCTGGAGGAGGAAGACGTGCGTCTTGACCACGGACAGCCTCAACATTTACGGAGACACGCAGAAGCGCAACCGGGGCAAGGAGCTCAAGCTGCAGTCCATCAAGAAGGTGGACTGCGTGGAGCGCACCGGCAAGTTCGTCTATTTCACCATCGTCACCACGGACAATAAGGAGATCGATTTCCGGTGCCCCGGGGAGGAGAACTGCTGGAACGCGGTGATCACCATGGCTCTGATCGATTACCAGAACAGAAAGGCCATCGAGGACTTTAAGACGCGGCAGGACAACGAGGGCGCGTCGCCCGGCCACCAGGAGCGGCGCATGGCGAGGGCGCCCTGACGCGCCGCGGGGCCAAACCACTCCTAATATGGTGAGGGGGGCCTCCATCACATGTGTCCAACACGATGTGTGTGTGTGTGTGTGTGTGTGTGTGAATAAGAGAAACGCATTTGCTGTGTCCGAACGCCGAGACTAATGTTGTTGTTTTTTTTTGCTGTTGTCCTCCATAGTGTCAAAATGGACCATAAGAAGCGGACCAAAAAGGAAGACGAGGTCACCCGGTCCGGAGATGAAGGATTGTTCGGGACTGCGCTCTCTGAGAGCGATGACAACCGATCTGAGGAGAGTTTCAGAAGCTCCACAAAACCAGACTGAGCTCTTGAAAATTTTCCAAACTGTGTAAAGTTTGATCTCCAGGGAGGAATGACTCCTAAAAAAACCATGATGTTAATTTATTTGTCTCCAGAATATGTTGTTACTGGCAGACAGCTGGTGTTGTTTAAATTATTTACTGTTTCAACGTGTGTTGAGTGTATTTATTTGAATAAATATTCATGAATTTTTAACAGAACTTTGCCCTCTCCTGTACCTTTGTTGTCACAACTAGAACCTCGTGTTCTTCCTATCGGTGTCTGTAGGCATCTTATTACAGCCTTATGGAGTAACTGTATATTTGACACTAGAACACATTTCACCAACTGCATTTCTCAGCAAATGAGACACCCTTTAAAAAATTTTTTTTAAAAAGCGAGTGGAGGACCGGAAAGTCCCTTTCCTTTCTGCTGTCAGGTGGAATGCGCCTCTTTATTGTCACTGGGAGGGTTTGTCACCCGAGTCATCGCCGATAAGCACGTTTAGTCGGCATCCCGGTGAACTTGAAAGACTTAAGTGGTGCCTTTTTGAACACACCTCAACTGCTTCCGAGGTGTGTCAGGTGCGTCTGGGTTATAGGTCGACACTTGACTGTCATGGCATTGTGATGTAAAGGCTTTTTCAGTGAGTGTAACGTGACACAAATTACACGCCTATTTAATTATTGTTCAACCCAACGAGCACAGCTTTAGTCATAGTACAGGTATTCGTTTTTCAAGGCCGTATTATAATGCAATTAAGGTTATAAAAGTGAAGTGAAAGAAAAAGTCATTCTGAGTTGGCTGCAATTAATCTATAAAAGTGTCTGTTATTGGTTAAATTAGCGTACATTAAACTCCAGGGTTGTATGTATGTAAAACGCCGTACAAGTGGCCTAACACGTGCACAGGCAATAAAATAAAAACGTTTTCTGTGAATGAGAAAAATGAACCCAGGTGACCTGATAGTGGTTTTCTGATGTTCCTGAAGGTTGTGTGGACATTTAAAAAGAGGTGATCTCTCTGCAGCAAATAGACACCTCTGGTCATGGACCTTGTGGACTGGAAGTGTGCTATGAGCACCAATGCCCAGAGGTCAAAGGTGCCAGAAAGCTGAATCCCTGGCCTGCAGTAATGAAGTGTACAGTGGAGTCACGCTCCTCCCGTCCGTGTGGGCAGCTTTGAAGTGGGATCCCGCTACGGTGAACGCATCAAAGGGTCGGGCTGATCTGGGGAGTATTACCGGAGCGGACGGGCCTCCTTGCTAAAAATACTGGCACCACTTTAATGTCACACACGCGTACACACACACACACACACACACACACACACACACACACACACACACACAAACACACACACACACACACACACACACACACACACACACACACACACACGGCCCCTGAGTGCAGCACACTTTCTTTGTAACCAGTTGATGATATTTTGTTAACAATTTTACACGAAAACAGTGCTCTTGTTTAAGCATTAAAGTGACTATAAGCATCATGAGCTGATGAAATACGTCACAATCCACCGGACATCTGGTTTTGTTCATAACTTCCTCACGCACACGCTGTGTCTTCCTCGCTGATCTCGGGGCTGTATAAACATCCTCTGACGCAGCACCAAGCCACATTCAGGCCGTACTCGTGGCCTCAGCGTCATCGCTCCACACAAGCTGCCCTCACGGTGACGGATCCTCGCTGCGCAACAGTCGATGCATTGTTACATTCTGGAGAAAAAGATTCACGCAGCAAGCAGAAGGATGTGTGACGGGGCCAAGACCTCTACACACATCTTCAGTTCATTGTCAGTGGTTGAACGTAGCGGGACAGAATGTGTGATTTAGAGGCGTTTATGGTAAATGAAGACAGCTGAGCCGGGGTGTTGTGAGGTGAAGGTCGGGGAGGGAGGGGGGGTGTGGTCCACTGGAGTACTGTGTTTTAGTGACCGCAGCGTATGTGATGCTTTTTGTCGAACAAATTAGTGACATAAAAGTCCTGTTTTATCTTTTCGTGCAGGGCCTTAAGAATACGAATGAGGAAACTGTCCTCAGTGTTGTAACTGAGGATTTGGAAGTTTGGCTTTGGTTTAATTTCAGTTTGACACACGTATGACCGTTAGTTGCAAACTGTGGAAGAAGATCCCATTTAGCAGCTTTAATTTTAATTTTAAACACCAGCGCCGTGTGCAAATAAAAACTCCAATAACCCAAACAGGAGAGGCTACTAGGATATTTTGCAAAGCCTCACACGATAGTCTGATTACTAACAGATCTCCGTCAGATTGCAGAATTTACTTTTTCTTTCCCGATGAGCTGAGATATCAAAACAAAAATCTGGCAGCCGTGCACTTTGACCTTTTTAAAAAAAATAAATGGGATTATCACACCACCCAAGTGCTTTCTAAGGCCCCTTTTACTGGAAGGAACCTCTTCAGGTATGTCACCATGTGACGCATGGCTCAGGTGAGTGCATACCTGCGCACATACCTCAGTAAACACCGGAGACGAACATACAATGGTGGGAGAAACAATACAAAGTCGCTGGGATGTACCGAAAAGCAGGGGCCCCCCAACCGCTTTTGCTTCACGGAGCGGTTTCATGTTAGAAAATATTTGGCGGGAAGGTCTTGAAGCGCATTAACGCTTGGGAATTGTGTCAAGAGGGACACGCGCTTGTAATTGGGGGAGAATCCGGTCATTTTTAAAAATAAAATATTATCCAATGAAAAAATATACTTTTTTTTTTGTTTGGTACTGTTGTGAGGTGGAGCTTCTAATAATGACCCCAATACGTGTTGTATTGAACCGTAACCTTTCTACTGTCTAAAACACTGCGCAGAACGTTCACGTGTTATAGTTTACCTTAAGCGAAGACACGTCATGCTACTTCCTGTCTTTCACAAAATAAAAGCACTTCCTGTTAAGTACGCTATTCAAAATAAGCAGTGTTACAGAAGCAGCATTAACTACATTTCTCATGGAATCAAACAAATATCAAACAATTTGCAACAGGTACCATGAGGTCCACCTGACAAGGGGTTGGGAACCGCTGCCGTAAAGGTCAAAATAGGGCCGAAAAAAATGAATGCTTGAACATAATTCAGCTTTCCGCTTCCCTTCCTCTGCATCCATCGTTCCATCCAAATAAAGGCCACCTCGTTCCCACATCTGGCCCTTCACATCCATCAGGACAAATTTTCCCATATCTTATCCACAATGGTGTTGTTCTTACAATCGTTTGTAGTCATGGGAACAGTGTTTGGAAATCCAACTGCCCGGTGAGTCACAGGGAAGGAACTTCACATGTACGCATCTTCAGCTCTCATGTGTGACAGTCACAAACTAACCTCTGATGCTCAGGAGCTTGGGGCCCAAATGTGTATGTAGTGTCACATTGAGTGGGACTGAACCACTTTCCTTCCCTTTTGTCATTTCTTTGCAACTTTTGGTTAGTCAGACGTTCCCTTGATGCAACCTAAAAGCTTGTCCAGACCGTATCCACTACTAAGATGGAAAAATAGATAAAAAGGCACCAACATTTAGCAATCTCAACATGCGTACAGGAATACTTCCCCCAATAACTCTTTGAAGGCACTTCCTTTTAAATGATAATCTCACCAATGTGGCACCTCTCACGTCTAACAAATGCGTGTGCATTGAATAGGCACAACTTCACGCATACATGCTGCACATATGCACACAAAGTGTTGGCAGGGGGACTGCCCCCGCTGAGCCGGGATCATATTGCTCAAGACCCAGCTGTCCACAGAGAAGCCTCAGACAGAGAGAGGAGACGCTGTCAGGAATGTCTGCGAGGCAAGCGAGGGGGCGGACGGCTCCATGTGCACCCGGCGGGCCCCGAGGAGCAAAGATGAGTATCGGGTTGAGTCAAACTTTGGACTCACGGTAGTCGGGACGGGATGGCTTTTACCTGGACTGAAAAGTGAAGACAATACAGTTTTGACCTTTTCAATCCGTGACTTGAAAGCGCTCCGATGAGGTCATTTTGAATGGGCGGCATTCAGAGATCTGAAGCACGTGTTGCTCAACTTGCAATTTCCAACCAGTGACTTGACTCAGTAGCATGAACTTCATCCTTAATGTTAGGATGGCTGTATGTAAGTAAGAATATACTTAATAATCTTAAATCAACTCAAATATTTTCAACCTTTGTGACGCGATCCTCGATGTATGTCTTCTCTTACCAAAAGCAAAGCCCAAAAAACTGTCAGAGCTCTAACGTGGATGGAGTCCGTAGTCTAGTGACTATATTCTCTGGACAAACAAGATCAAAACTATCCGCGTGGCTGGAATCCACTGGAGACATGTCCTCTGAGGACGTGGATCACAATGGACAATGGGACAGGGAGAATATGCCGGGGTTTCTGAAGTCTGGAGTCTTCTGTTACTGGGCTCCTGAGAGGGGGGCGGGGGGGGGGGGGGGGGTTCAGTTACCAGCACCTGGCTGAGTGGGTGTGTGAAGCGATGACCAAGAACATGATGACCAGCCGGAAGGTTGAAAGAAAGACATCATTCACAATCAAAATATGCCTTAACTCAACAGGCTCTTTGTGAATTGTAATGTAGTACGACTGTACAGACCTGGGAGCTTCTATATGCAGCGGTTTCTACGGAAGAAACAGAACAAACGAGAAATAAAAGACGAAACACGGGGAGTCCCAGTGTTTTTAATGGTGAAGCTTGATGCTGCCGCTCAATAGCTCCCAGCAGCTTAATGTCACTCGCGTGACTTAAGGTAAGTTACATCAGATTGTCGTTGCAGCGAATAAGGGAGCAACAGGATGAACTTTGGCTGACGGGGGAAACGGACGGTGAAGACGGATGGCTGTAATAACCTGTAACGATGACCCCGGGTCCACAGCCCGTCTCAGGCAAAGAGGAAATTAGTTGGCCGTATATGGTACACGGGAGGAAGGCGAGTAAAAGACAAAGGAAAATAAATGAGCACATAATGGGAGGGAGGGAGGAAGAATTCCAGAGCAAAGAATACTGAAAGTATCACAGGAAGAGTTTGCTTAAGAAGAGAAATGGAAGGTGGAATTCCTCCGAGACACACCAGAGCCAACAATATACACCGGGTGCAATCTGATCAACGGGTTACGCAGCAGGGACACTCTGCCCTGAACAGACACTCTGCTGAGGCGTTGCAAACCTTTCGCTCTGTCTGCATTTATAGGAAAGGGTTTGAACAAA